GTCCCCGCCGGCCGCCCCCCCCCCCCTAAGACCAGGCCCTCCGTGAGCCGGTCACCACCATCCAGCCACCACCCTCTAAGACCAGATTCCCAAACACGTACCTTGGGAGGACAAACCATTATCCAAACCATAGCACGTGTGATCTCCATGTTTTGGTGTGTGTGTATTAACAGTAAAAAAATCTATATTAACGAGGAGTTCAAAGTCTGTGGAAGGGGCCGAGTTTATGGTGTACAGTAGTGGGTGCTCAAGTGAAGCCAAGTCCCATCTGGTGACTGTGGTGTGACTCTTGGCCTGCTCAGCCTGAAGCTCGCTGGGCACGTACACTTGTGGATAAGGTCCCATGGGCCAGAGGAGAGGGTGGCGGCGTGACCAGACCTGTGGAGGGTGCTCCTTTCTCTCTCCTTCTGTCTCTCTTACTTGTATATGCACAAAGTCCATCAAAAAAAAGAAAAACATGTTCTTGGAAAAATAGAATTAAAGTATGAGTTAATTTTGATAAAAAAATGTTGAAAATTCTGTGTTTTTTAAAAAATAATAGTTTACTTATTTAATTTTATTAAATAAATTATTTATTTAATTTCTTTGTTATCATTATTTATTTTTAAAAATTTGACCAGACAGAGACAGAGAGAGAAAGGAAAAGAGGGAAAGCAAGCCGCTGGGTCCAGGACGCGAACCGCAGTTGGCCGTGTGGGAGTCCAGTACCTTAAACATCACCCCACCTGCTGGTCTCCCATGTAGTTTTTCACAATTCACATTTTCTGTGAACTTTTTAAAAACTCCTTAACTCCGGTTAACAGTGGTTCTCTGATGAAAATGGGATTGAATATTTTCTTTGTGTTTCTATTTTTTATCCAAATGTATTATAAGTAAAATAAATGATCATTATTGCAAGTAGAAAGTAGAAGTCACTTCCGGTGAGGCCGCCAGTCCCACCGCTTCCCACGGTGCCCTGCTCAGATGTGCCGAAAGACAGACCGGTCATGGGGCTGGGCTCCCC